CCCCTTGTAGACTGCATTAAATATGGCTTGACAGGTGGCTGCTGGATGTGCAGTCCCAGGAGACAGAACAAAGCACTTTCATCGTGTGTGTGTGTGTGTGTGTGCGTGTGCGTGTGTGTGTGTGTGTCGGTGTGTGTGTGTGTGGGCACGTGTGACTGTGTTGCATGCTTGTGTGTTTCAAGTAAGGTTCAGGTTAAGAAATGAGCAGAAAAGACCTTCACACTGGGGAAGAGGAGAATAGCGTCCAAAAATCTCTCATGCACTCTCTCTCTTTCTCTCTCTTCAGAATGCGTGTTTGTTGTTTGTGTGTTCTCATGTGCAGAGAACTATTGACATGGAAGAGACAAGTTAAGAAGACTCTATGGTAGCAACATAATAGACATACCAAAGCGGTGGAGGCGAGAAATTACTGTAACTCAGCATTAGTTTAATTCAAAAAATGCTGCTATTAATTTTGTTTAATCAAATATTTCTTGACTTTGATTATTTTTGTTTGGTTTGGTGTTTTGTAATGATAAAGAGAGCGCATTCTTTGTGCGGTCAGCAGAGGTATGAATGGATGAATTCATAGGTGGTAAAAGGTAGAATTATGAGGTGTAGAAAATAGTAGGCTAATTGTAAATGAGTTGGAGTCTGTTGGATGAGAAAGTGAAGGCTGTTTCTCATAATATGGAGGAAAGAATAGAAATGACTCTGTGAATGAATCATTCTGGTGAAGGCTGCATTACAACCAAAACACCTGCTGTACAAGAGCACACTGTGCAGCAGTTTACTGAAGGTGAAAAGTTGCTGATTTCAGCATTAAACAAGAAGAGGTTTATTTTAGTTTATTTTTTTACACATTTAATATTTTCATCATCTGATTTTACCTCTCTGTTTAACAAAGCTGTCGACAGCTTTATTATCAGCCATGACAGTGTGTGGCTGGTATTGTTTTCAATTTGTGAGTCTGTGTATCATGGCTAAACTACTACAGAAGTGGTTTTGAGTACTTGTGCTGTAAATTTGCAGCGACTACTACACTGAAATTTAAATTTGCACTCGAAAATTGGGCACTGCCTTTAATTGAAGGAGAATAGACAAATCAAATGAATTAGTTTTATAATCACAAGTAGTAAACTCTTGATACAGGGATCTCTGTCTTTGCTTTAAATGAAAACACAAGACCACAACTTGGCAATAAATTAGGATTTAGTTATAGCTAAATGTCTAAAAGTAACTGAATAAATGAAGCATGAAGAAACACATGACGATGACACTTTACTAGACTTGTTGAACAGTCTTGAAAGTAATTTGAAGATAAAAAAAAATGCCCAAATAAAAATGCCCATGGCTTAACAAAGAGGAAAACATTACTGCAGAAATTCGAGCCTAGAAGATCTAAAGTAAGACTGGAAAAGAGCCTTGGGGGGCATTTGAAGAAAACCTTGAAGGACAAAAAGCAAAAGAAAATAGAAAGAAAAAATAAAGTAGAAAATAATAGAAAAATTTCAAAAAGGTAGAGAGTTAAGGTACCAAAAGTGCTGAGGAACACATGGCAGTCAGCTGTCTTTATCACCCGACAGGTCTAGGCATGCATTATGGGCAGAGAACCGGCATTTCACTACAGAAGAGAAGGAGTTGATTTCCTTACTCCAGGGAGATTCATTTTACTGAGGTTTTACGCACAAAGATCACATAATTCAGCTTATCACTGTGGGCAATCAACAGTGATTCGAAACATGACTTATATGTAACAGTGTGTTACAAAGAATGTTAAGGAAAGCATGTGGTTTGAACAGCAATGAGTTGACCACCTGGAAACTGCTCATACAGTAGGTTCTGGGCAGCTACAGGTCTAGATGAATGGTGTAAAAGAAAGAGCAACCCTGGTGGTCTAAACGCATGGTATAATTTAGATCTATGATGCTTTTCAAAGGCCGTAATAACATACTGGACAAATTGGTGAGTGTGGCTGCCAGAGACTGGCCATGGCTCCGGAGCTTCACCAGATTGCTTCTGCTTCTGGTTTCTGTCTGCTGTCTGTCTCTGTCACCACAGTTCAAATATGGATCTACTAAAGGCATCCACCAAAATTTTTTCTAACTCATTATGAGTCATTTCGCTTCAAAGCATTTCATTTGCATTTTTATTGGAAACTCTGGATCATACATAATTGAAGTTACATGGGTTGAACTTGTAGGGCAGTGCAATACATCTCACAATGAGCTTTAAGATTTTTTAAAAGCATTTTCTTTTCTGTTATACACTAATCACTGGGTGACTCATTATTATTTCTTTTTCATGCCACATATGCTCATAGGCCTATTGAAATTATTTACTGTAAAGACAGTGGTGATAGCACCATTGAGTGCCATAAAATATCATAATAAGGTGCAGAGATGCGCCTTTTGCCTGAAGGGAGTTGTCTCCTGGTGTAATGTGTTGTCTATAAACCAACCTGCATATTTACCCAGAAAACATACAGGCTTTTCCAAGGCCTTTACATGATGTATGACTCACTTGTGACCCTCAACTACTGTTGAAGCAAACATTGTCACTTTCAAAGCTCTTAGGTTTTGGCTCTCTTAGCTAAAGGCATGGCATTAATTTCAGTCCAGCCCCTCTGCACTTTCTGTTCTCTGTAAAGTGCAATACCAGAATGGACTGTGTTAAGATAGTTCTTGATAACAGGGAAATGTGTAATAACGTTTTTTCTATTGTTGCATTGGTTCCAAGTATATCTATTCATTCAGCAATTGTCAAAAATGGGCATAAGAAGAAAAGAGTCAATCGATGTGGCCTTTGTTTCTTCAAAGAAAGACGAATAAATAATCTCAAAGGTGACTTTACTGTATATAGGTGTTCTGACAAGGAAGATCCTCTGTCCATTAGTTTTAATTCTATTCAAAGGAATAGTTTGACACATTTCTTGCCAAATATTAGATGAGAAGATCAGTACCACCAAAGACAAGTCTGTTGATTTAGTATGAAGCCAGAGCCAGTGGGCAGTAAGATTAGTTTAGCATAAAGACCGAAAACAGGGGAGAAACTGCGCTTGGTTTTGTCCAAAGTTGAAAACAATAAGCTTTAGAGCTACTCGTAGGCAGATTTGACTTTTTTTATTACTTTTTTTTATTTTTAGAACTTTATCCATTCTCTAGCTAGCTGTTTTCTTCCGCTTCGCTCTCTATGCTAAACTAAGCTACTCTACTGCTGACTCTAGCCCCCTGCTTAATGGACAGACATAAGAGTTGCATCAATCTTTTCATCTAATTCTTTGCAACTGCAAAAAAGATCATTTAGTTGTTAAGATATATATTTTGGCAACATTATTGAATTTGCTTTGATAAACGTTTTTACATGGACTGTTTGTTATTATAAATTATTGATTACTGTCGTGCTGTACTCAGACAAGTCATCATCCTACAATGCAGGCTCTGCACTCAGTCTGAACCTTGTGTCCATGCATTAGCTGATTACTTTAGACAAAGCACAGTGGTAATGACAAGAGGAGTTTCAGCATGCAGGCTAAAGACAATTATTCAAATCAAATATCTTCTTGGCCTCTTCAAAATTACAGGCTGAATTCTGGAAGAATTAGAGATAAAAAAAGACTTTTTGGACAAAACTCAGGAAAAACATAAACAGACAGACAGTGTCTTCATGTAGCCATCTACAAAATGTTGGTGTTTAGTGTTTGTACACCAATTCTGTACACAAACTGAAATATTAAGATGCCTGAAACTAATTAGCTTAAGAGCACTTCATATTTGTTGTGTACGGCTCTATTTATTTTACATATTGGAAGGAGAATGACATTTTCATCTGTTATGCATTCAAATGATTTCAAGTAAAAAATAATCTGATGTTCTTGCAGCCACCAGTGTTGCTTGAGGGAAAATATACTTTTGAATGCTGAACAGAGTTGTGCATTGCTCTGGTCCCTCAGCAAGTTTTAACATTAGTAGTAGAAGAGAAGAATTGTTTGCCTGCGGATATCCACGCATTTTGTACCCGCAGGTGCTACTAATAATAACCTTCATCTGAGTTTAGCATTTGTAAAATAACCATTCAAACATTCAAATGCTTTTTTGTTTGAAATACTGAAATATGGACGCCACAACCAAAAGTAGATTATTAGTGGCTGCAGTATGCATCTAAGGGGAGAAAATACAGAGTATGTATGACATAAATTCTCTAATCAATTCAACACTACCTTTTGAAGTTCATAAGATCCTTAAGTGTGTCACTGAGGTTCTTAGTCAACTCAATGATGATTTTTTTTTAAAGCTGTACATTAAAGTACATTTTGGTCATGTTTTTCCATGTTCTTAGGTTATTTGTGTATGCCCATCTTTTTGATTAATTATTCCACCACATCACATCCATCTGGGTATAGGGCGCAAACAACAAATGACTGTATCAAACTGTAGGAGTTTATATGCAAATGATCTCTACGCCAGATGATGGGTGATTATATCATTTACACCCAGTTGCCAGTTTATTATGTACACCTTATTGGAACTGATGTAGTCCAATAAAACTGCTCTGAAATAATAAAAAAGATACTATGTTTAGTTTTTATTTAACTATTATTCAACTATGAATATTAGTTTTAATGGGGTACCTATTCACTGGCGTATTTTTATGGTGCTTAAAGCTTGGACAGAGACGTGTAGGGAATGCTTCATCTCTCCTCTCACCTCATCTGTGTGGAATAGGTCACAGAAACATAACGTGAATTAACCAATTCTCTCCTCTTATCCTCTTAATCATCTTTCGCTATTCCCCTCATCTTTTCTGAGATTTCCAAATAATTTCAAAAACTGACTGTGTGATGTGCTGCTGCTTTGCTGACCAGCTGTCTCCCAGAGAAGAAGCTCTTTGCCAATGTCGAGATTATTGTGGCCAAATACATTTTATGTAAAAGTATTGATCTTCTTTTTCATTATTAACAGGTGCGACTACGAGGCTGCCCCCCTTGGCTTTTAGTGTTCCTCCGACAATCTTGACATCAACCCTGTGAGATTTAGAGAGAGGACAGATTTTTTGCATCCATCTTGACTCATCAGCCAAAGCCCCAGACCAACCGACCAGGTAAGGATGACTGCTGTATGTGTTGCCAAATGCTGTGGCTGTTTTCCATTGGATCTCACCTCTTTGCAGTAGCTCATTAAGAAATGTAGTGTCTGGAAAAGTCACTTTTAACATACTTGCTTTATGTAAGCGTTGTCTCTCTCTTCATAATGCATTTGTGACTATGTAAAATTAAAATATTGAAAATACTTTATTTCAGCTTTTGCACATGCACTAATATTCCCTTCATCTCACAAAGGAGAGATGAACCTGAAGCACATACACTAACACTTTTTTAGATTATTTTATCCTCCTGTTGTTTACCTCTAACCTGGCTACACCCCTGAACTACTGCAACCTACACCTGACATACACATCTCTGAATGTGAAGTGATCCTCTGAGCTTAAAAGTTGCATGGGTGGAAAAGACTTGAATGTAGCTCTGACCTGCTTTTACCATAGGAACATCAGAAACATTTTTGGCAATGATGATGAGAGGTAAAGCATTATTGTGCACCATGATTGATGTGGCGGCTCACGGTGCCTGAATGAATGATGCCAAAAGCAGCCAAAACCTCATACAGTATCTCTACCAAGCCTGTTCAGAGCCACATTCATTTAACATAAACATTTGAGACATGCTGAATACCTGTCAGAAAGAGAAAAAGAAACATTTACGACAAGAGACAGAGAGAGACTGAAAGTACCTCCACAGATGAAATAGCTGTGTGGGTGGATGTACATGTGAGTGCAGGCTGCTAGGAGCTGTGAGTGGGAAGTGGGTATTGAGTGGGAAGAGAAGAGCTGCTTTGGTGAGACAATCAGCACCAAGGCCCGCTGAAAGGCAGTCACGCTTTCATGGCTTCTCTTTGTTTTCTGCACTTGTACAAAGACCAGAGTTCCAGGTGGGGAGGTTGGTTACGGACGGTGGATAAGAGTTTTTTTGGTGCCTGCCTGCCATCATCAGATTATGCATGTGTGTATATATATATATATATATATATGAGAGTCCATATCTGGTTTTCCCTCCTGTTATTTTCATATAAAATCATGATGTATCTAGTTACAAGACTGGATAGAAACAGGATGGAATAGACTGGATAGACTGGACAGCACAGGTCTTACAACTGAAGCAACTCATGCAAGTTGTACTGAAGAAGCTATTTGATTGTGTGATTTGATTGTGATGCTCTAGTTTGTGCTGCAATCTGATTTACATATACAGTATTTTGTGTAAATAACTGCTGATTGAGGCCAAATGAGATACAAAAATGACACACTGCAACATAAGACCATATTTAGTGAGAATCCAAAAGCCTGTATTTAATGGACAGTGTGTGCGAGAGAACAAGAGCAAGAATGGGGAATGAGAAAAATGATGGTCAGGGACAATGAAACAAAAGACTAATGAACAATGTAAGTAAAACACTGTTGAAAAGATTAAATCAGTATCATTGAAGAGGGATGCTCTAGTTAGAAGTGGCTGACAGTCATTACAAATGATTGATTGGTTGTCTGTTTTTATAATTATATCATTACTTTTAACACTGTTATCGAGAAATGTTTGTTGTGTTGGCAGGAAATTCTTGTCTGCTTGACAGTGCCAATGTGTTTCGTTTCATCTCATCCATAAATGATGTCAGCTGATCCATGACATTATCACTTCACACCAGCAACAAGGTGAAACAACTTTACAGTCACAACAACAGATACTCCATCATAGTTATGGCAGTTTGAAGGTTCAAAATGAAGTTTAAATTTGGTGATCACAAAAACTGTGACTGAAACGGGGTTGTGCCCCTGTTCTAAAATGAGGTGTAAAATTTTATGATTTTCCTCATGCCCAGTTCTTAAAATATTTTCACATAAGAAGCTACAGTATGTTTGTCGAACGATGCTTTAAACATAGCTCATCAAATTTATAAAACACAAAAACTTTCAAGAGCAATTTACAGCTAAGCAAATATAGGACAGAGAATTACAAATTGATTGACTGACAATCAGCAGTGGGGACACATTTGTACCAGGACTCAAAGAACACATGGAAAGAATATATTTGAAAGAAATGGATGCAGTATTTTATTATCCCAAACACATAAGCTACACGTGATGCGTGTGCATCTTCTAAGTATTAAAGGGAATGTGGAGAAATCTGTGCAAATTTCAACCACATATTTTAGTCATGTGAAATAAGCAATAGAATAACTTGGGGGCAAAAGGGACGCCTGAGTGTAGACGGATGAAAAGAGCTAGTGGAGCATATTAAAAACATTTAGAAAATCATTCATAAAATCTGAGGCAGTATTGAAGATTTCCAGACAAAATGGCCTACATAGTTATGTTATGTGAAATCATGTCGTCAGTAGACATATTATTACAAGTATACTGTAGATGGGTGGAAGTGTACGCATGCTCACACAGACTTGTATGCATGTCTAACTATGTATGTGTAAGATCATTATTATCGTTTATTTCTATTAAATTTAATTTGTGTTTTACAAAAGCATTTAAAAGAAATCCCACTATACAGGAATATATAATGTGTTTGAGCTACTTGTCCAGTTTATATAACAGGTAAAAAGATCATGGTTAGTTTCAAGATCTGGTAAAGTTAACTACTAGGCAACTAAAACTGCCTGTACTTGGGTAGTGGTTAGGGAAAAGATCAGGGTCATGCTTACCAGAAACCAACATGACTGTAGCAATGAGACAGTCTCTTGTGTCAAAGCCTGTCAGTTTGTACACCCAGCCATCTAGCTTGTCCTCCGTTTTAAGAGGTTTTAAAGTTTTATAACACACCCTAACACCTCTACCTTTGCTCTGGTCATTATTCACACGACCATAAAAGTTCATTTGTAAAAAGGCTCTTTTAAGTGTTCTAACAAATGACCAGTGCTGTTGTTTGCGGTCTTGTGAAACAGGAAGCAGCTTCTTTGGTGTACCCTCTCCTTTTTATCAGTGCTTGGTCATAGGTTTTAAAGGTACTACTAACATAATTCCTGGATAGATACTGCTAAGAGGCATTATTTTATGCTGTTCAACATCTTTTCGCTGTCATGCCGAAAAATCATAAGTGGGCATATTTCTTAGATGAAAAACCTTTGAAGCCGCATTTACAGAAGACCTTTACTACAACTCTCCACTTAAAGCTGCTCTAATAAGGTCTTTTTAAACAACATCTTTAAGCAGGATTAAGGTGAGTTTCATTTCAGGTTTTATGAAAAGACAGAGGAATTAATCATAAAGAATGTAATATATGCCGTTTTCATCAAGTATGAGAAGAGCCTGTTTAGCCCTGTTTAGTGAGGAACTTGTGGATAAAATCAACAGAACACTGGACACCATGGCCTAGTTTGGCACAGATATACAGGCTAAACTCCACTTTTTCCTGCTCTAGTAAAATAACCCTCAGGACTAACACGTGCAATCTAACATGAAAACTGTCAAAGGTAAAGGTTGTCATTTTGGGAAATACATTTATTAACTTCCTTGCCAAGAGTTAGATGAGATGATTGATACCAGTCTTGTGTTAAGAGAGATAAACATGTTGCTGGAACCAGCAGCCAGTTAGCTTTAGTTTAGCATTAATACTGGAAACAGGGAGAAACAGCTAGTCTGGCTCTGTCCAGTGGTAACAAATCTACTCACCAGAACTTTAACAGGTTAGATCTCATTTGTTTATTCCATCCAAAACCAAAATGTAGAAATAATAATTCCCCATTTTATGGGCTTATGTGCAAGGGTTTTTTTTGGAGCAGTTTCCAGGCAACCAGTTGAGTCTCCAGCAGGCTACTGAGAAATAGTTTGGCACATAATCCCCTAAAGATGGTGAATTGTTGTTTTTATGCGTTGGTTTTTGTATGTTTCCTGTCTTCATGCTAAGCTAAATTAGCTAGCTGCTGCCTCCAGCTACATATTTACGGTACATACATGAGAGCAGTATCAATTATCATTTAACTCTTGAAAGCAAAGAAAGCAAATTAGCTTATTTCACGAAATGTCAAACTAATCTTTTGAACATGCATATGTATGTTCTCGCTTTAAAATATCTCCAAATGGAGATACACATATGCACAACACACACTGATACATATGTGAACACATATGTGCACGCGCGCACGCATGCGCACGCACACACACACACACTCACACTCACACTCACACTCACACTCAGAAGAACTAGCCTAGATCTTGCATCCATAAGCTGCTCTCCTGCTCCTGCAGTGAGACGGCCCTGAAAGGAGAGCCCTGCAATGCAGCATCTGTGTGACTCACACACACGCACACACGCACATACACACACACACACACACACACACACACACACACACACACACACACACGCAAACACACGTGTGCACACACACACACACATACGCACACACACGCACACACACACACACATACGCACATACATAGTGTGAGATGGTGGCATGTGAAAGCTCAGATCGTAGGAGGGAGATGAGGAGAGAGAGAGCATAGTGAGGGGAAAGATGAAGCCTGTTGAGAGGTAGAGGAGGAGGAGGAGTGAGTAGGAGGAGGAACAGTGATGGGAGGAGGTGGAGGAAGGTGAAGAGGGAGGAAGAAATAACAGGTGGGAGGAAGATTTATAGGTGAAAGGATGCTAAGAAATCAGACAAAAGAATATGAAGAAGCCATGGAAATGACAAATGGACTACTTAATTAACTTACTTGATTACCTTGCCTGGGCAGAATTTTTATGGCTGATGCACTCAAAGAGGGTTTACCAGCCTTGCTTCATCTCTTTAATATGGATACACTTTGTGATACATGCTTGAACTGACAAGGGGAAGATTGTCTTGAAACAAATGAAAAATACTATAGAAACTTCCCACAGCTGGCGAGTTAATCTTCAGAAAACCTTTGATTGCTGTATGATGATGTCATTAGATTTTGCCTTGCTAATTGCTATTTTTCATTGTGAAGAGATGTTGTGTAGGACCACCATTTTAAATAGCCTTCAAACTGCTGATATCTGCAAGCTCTTGCTTGGTAATTTG